TTTTTTCCTTTTTCAGACTAACGCAGACCTCAGATCGAACAACGGCAATGCTTGTCTGCATACTTGTCATATTTCTTATAACTGAGCTTCCTCAGGGTATACTTGCCATACTGAACGCAATCTATACAACGCATGTTCATTTGTATATATATTTTCACTTGGGTGATATTCTTGACCTACTCTCATTGCTCAACTCATCCATTAATTTTGTTCTTTACTGTGTTATGTCCTCAAGGTAAGTGTTCGTTCGCTTACTTTTCAACAGATTTCACGTTTCATTGATGCACTCAACGAATTAGGGCGCCACACCACTCACTGACTACTTGCCGCAGTATTTTGAGTGATCATTTAAAATCCCAACTGATTGAGACACTTTCTTGTTCAGCACATCCAGAAGGATATCTGCAAAGAGCCCTAGATGGCCGATTGAATCAAAATTGAATTAACATTCGAATTCATGAATCTTTTTCCATTAAATCATATGAATCAGCAGCTGGTTCTCATGATGAGCATATCGAATTTGATCATAACCATCGCTCTGGAACTACCAAAGAAAGTAACCGAAAATCACCATCAGTTTGTAGGACTGGTGATAACTTTAAACTCTAGATGATAACTTTAAATCGGTGACGATGAGTAATGTGCATCTTTTTTAGGTATAGGAATACATTCTGGACAGTTGTCTTACCACAACACGTCTACAGGTTTCTTCCATAAAATTTTCATTTTCAATTTGTGCAGTCCTTATAACACATGAGCAGTTATTTTCCATACTCACTCAATCAATGCATTGCTGAGAGAATGGTGTTAGAGAGGAAAGATAGATTACTCGGAATCGGGTTACTCGGATTATAGAATGACAGAATCAGTGGAATAGGTAGAGGTATCATTTTGATATCATGCAAAAAACCAACTGACTTTAATGAAGTCGAAACAAGTGCCCTGCATTTGACGAGTGCCTGGTTGTCATATCGCTTAGATGAGAATGAAAAAATGAACGAAACTGAGATATTGTCGGTTGACTGATTGATATGAAATGACTATAAAATTCATATTCATCAACTTTTTTGTGACGAATCATTAATGCTCGTACGAACGGCGTGGAGAATTGAAATTTGACCGTATGGGGGTGGATGCAGCGGAGACAAAAAATATGATTTATTTCGAAGGAATTGTCTATAATTGTTGCGTTTCGCCTTCACTTCAAGCAGTTTTCTTTGGAGGGTCCGTTACACTGAATTCGTTTACTCCCTGGTTTCCGTATTCAGTGCTAAACGTAATTTCGAAATGTTTTCAGTTATTTTTGTATAAAGAGGACATCTCTAGAAATGATCTCAGCCGTACCAAACAAAACGCAAAAGAATCAGAAACGAACACTGAAACAAACCAGCGACACTACTTTTATAAACAAGAACTCAAGGTAGAATGGCATATGATGCATTGAGCGCAATTGCTCAGCATTTTCTTAATGTGTTGAATTCAAAACTCTTCTGCTCTATACATTGTGCTAGCATGTCAGCATATCAATGGATTGGTGATTGTCTGATCAATGCGTTCATATTTCATAAGTGGATAAATTGTCGTCCGACTGCGAAACTTTCTGTCAGTTTATCGCCATATTTTTCATCCAAGTAGCAAAGTTCATGAAAATTTATACATATATATGTCCGGCAGAAGTAATTTTTGCAAATTTGCTCGGAATTTTTGTGAGAGTAACGAGATGTCGGTAGTCATAGTTTTGATCACCTCACTGTCTGATGGATTAATCCAAGGAGGTGACTAATCATCAGTGTTCTGCAGGAGAACAGGTTGTGGCAGTCACCATCACCACAGTGATTACGATGCAATGAAGGAGGATTCCGATGAGTACAGAATACCGTTATTCATTGAAACTAACAGCGATCACGTATAAGCG